ATCCATTTCAGTATGCTAATTTTGTAGTCTCAACCACATCCTATAGCTTATTTACCACATCACAAAACTATATCATTTAATGGAATTCAGTTTAAATATTAAAGCAAATATATTGTTGTAGCTAAGCAGTTTTGCTGAGCTATCCTTCCTTAAGGCCCACGATTACTAACATACTTGATTAGTTGTCCTATAGGTACCTAGTCCTAATTACTAGGAGCACCTTTTTTTGAGATTCCAGTAATATGGTATTTTTCCCCCAGCCTCATGTTTTTAAAATAAGTCTTTAAACCATGATGAGGAAGCACTTTTTACATTTGTTTCACTCTATTAGCAGTTTTTGTATCTTTAGTGGAGACAAGGAGATTTTTAGAAGCCCTAATTTACATATTCAGTAATTCTGTTTATTGCAGTGTTAACATCTGTCTTTTGTTTAAAAGAAGAAACTTGCTTTGGATTACATTTCTGTTCTATCCCAATATTTTTTTTCATAGCCCCAGGAGAACATCTTTTAAGATGGGAGTATTAAGAAGAAAAAAGTGGTGCCTTTCACTATTCCACAGAGCACTGAATTTTTCTTTTAGAGGATGAACTTTATGTAATGTCTTCTCTGTGCTGGCAGAAAAATAAACTAGGAATAGATCATCCATGGACAGATGGTCACACTTAGTTTTAAACGCCCCCCCAAACTCTTCCCCAGTTCATATGCAAGAGAGGGAAGCCCCATCCCCCACAAAGTTATTTTACAAAACATAAAACTTGACAAGGTCGCTGCATTATTAGATTCCTGTCTGCTGGAACCTGGGACACTTCTCTGCTGTTGGCACAAACACAGCTGCATAGTCTAAATGACATGCTTCTGATTTCATCCAGGAATCATCTGCATGATGCAGCTCTTTGTGGTGTCAGTTTAAACTCAGCATTGCGTTAGATGTAGCAGAAACTTATTTGGGCCAGTCAAAAGTCCTGATGTCAAATTACAGACTCAAGGCTTTGGCTGTTAGACCTTCCTCGGACCAAAGAGTGGGTAGAGAAGGTCCCTTAAGTCTTGGGTCGGTTATATGAAACCTATTTTTTTTGTCCTGCCCCCTCAAGCACATGATGCATTGATAGGAGATCTTTTCAGCACATTATACATTTTTTCCTTTAAATAAGAAGAACCTTAGTAACTTGAATCCCCAGAATCAAACAAAGCGATCATGACAACCATCAGTAGATGTTACTTCAAGTAGGAGTCTTTTTGTAAGAAAACTCCTTTAAAAACACTATAAGGTGCTTTTCTAAACACTTTAGAATTGATTTATATTTGTTATAATTTATTTACTTAAAAATCAGAATTTTGTGAGGACTTTAAATCTCAAAGATCAGTTTTTACTTATGTCCAACTATAACCAGTAAACAGCAAAGGGCCTGATAGAACTGTTGATTTCAAATGTCTAAATAAAAAGGTTAAAATGAAGCCACTGTAAAAGTTGTTTCCCACTGAAGAATGTGTTCCATTACTGCATGTGATAGCTTTCTGTGCTGAGACCAGTTCCCATTATGCTAGCTGCTACAAATCATAAGCTCCTTTTTTAAAAAAACCCAACAAATTGTACACATGGGAAGATTTGAACAACTGGTAAGTTTAGTTAGTCTGGCTCCTTAACTGAATTCTACATTTTGTTTCAGCTATGCATCTGGTAAGACTTGCAGGGTAACGCATTTCACCATACTTTATTTTTCATACTAACTTGTTTTTTGAAGTAATGTGATGTCCAAGAGCTGCAGTCAAAAACGAGGACCCCATTGTGCCAGGCATTTCACAAACCCTAAATAAAAGATGTTCAAAGAAGTTACCAGTGCAAGTACGAGACAAGAGAAAACAGACTGATAGAGACTGACAACAGAAGACAAGCAGTAGTTATAGTACATCAAAGGCCTATGCATTGCCCAGTTTTTTTGCAGGCTTTGCTGTAAAAGAGAGTAGAGAGAGAACGTTGAGCCTGTCTATGAGGAGCTCTTCCAGGCATGAAGAATACTGTGTGAGAAAATATGAATGTGCTTGCTTGAAAATCAAGCAAGTCAATGATGGGGCCAACATCAAAGGCCAACTGGAAGTGAGAGTCAACCTCTCAGCACAGAATGAGATGGGGACAGACTGGGATTTGTGCCTGGAATGGGCAGGCAAATAACATGTGTTTGCAATCAAGAATGTAATCTCATGCAAATGTCATTAGAAGCAAAAGAATGAGTGAACTACAGTGTTGAGAGAAGTTCTGTAGGCAGCCCTACTCTCTAAGGCTGGAGATACCAGCATAAAATTTGACAGAGAACACACACACAAAATTGTCCAATAGCGCAGTTTCTTGTTATGGGCAGTCACTCATTTGCCTGGAATTTGCAGGACTGGGGAAGGGAGAGGGATTTGGGACTGTTTAGCCCAGAAAAGAGAAGGCTTTGGGGGGATTTGGTGACGGCTTACAAATATATCGGCAGAGAGCATCAGGGGCGATGCAAACAACTATTCACCAAAGCGCCCCAGGGGAAAACCAGGAGCAATAGTCACAAGCTCCTAGAAGAAGGTTTCAGACTGGATATAACGAAAAACTTCTTCGTGATTCATGTGACCAGACTCTGGAATAGACTCTCAACGGGGGTGGGTGCAGGCACCTACCTTGGAGATCTTCAAAAGGAGACTGGATGCACAGGTTGGTGGGTTATTACATCTGTCAGCCTTTCCTCATATGGCTTGCTCTTTAGGCCTCTAATCGGATGAATGGCTCTTCTCTGCCTGCCCAGAGCAGGGGGCTGGACCCGATGATCTCACAAGGTCCCTTTCAGCCCGAAACTTCTGTGAATCTGTGATTGAAATTTTTCTTTTCCCTCCATATAGTTGCACTTCTGTAATAATCTCCTTCTTTCCTTGACTCTAATGGAGAGTTGTATTACATGCAGTCAGTTGCCAGGCCAGCTGTTTCTGTGCCCAGAGATGGAAATTCTCTGCATGCAACAATGTCTGCTCTTGTTCTGTTTGGTTTTTGTCAGAGATTAGGCATTTCCCCATTTTTTTTTTTTGCCTTCTGGTAAAAGTGACTGCATTAAATTTCAGTGGAAGTGGAAAATTGTTCTTCAGTACCAGTGGGTAAAGGTTATAGGTCACAGCCTTACATGGATACTGCTTAACAGATTAACTGAGCATCAGTTCTTATTCAGTGAAGTTAATGGGATGGCTCCATAAATTTTGGCCTTAAATATCTCTCTGAATTAATGTAGTGGAGCCATTTCAGATGAGTCATGTAAGAACTACACTAAAATGATTGAATTGCTGGAAAATGCATATTTTAACTATTTTTATTAACATAACATATACTAGATATGTTTGGCCTAATACTTATTAGATCTTTATAAGCAAACTAGCTAATTGTCCATCAAGAATGATGGGTTTCAGGGAGTGTTTATATGGCCCCCCATCACCCCTGCTCACCCTTTGGGGCTGGCCATGTAAAAACTCCAGCCACCGCGTTCTCCTCCAGCCTCTGACACGGGGGCTCCCTCCCACGCCCGTCTCTGCCTTGCAGAGTGGCTTCTCCCTGCTCCC